TCTCATGCAGGCTAATTTTTTTTAAAAAATTTTTATAAACTAATTATGTATATGTTTAAGAGAGTTCTTTAATCCAAATGAATCCCAGTAGCCCTGTGGAGTTACATTCATATTTAAAAAAAGGCTTGACACTGGGCAGCCTCTACGTCAGTTTTCAGAAAACGGGAGCCCTACTTGCAAACCTTCTGCCTCCCAGTGTTCTTCATTTTGATTTTCCATGAAAGCCTTTATGTCATTTCCCTCCAGTGTGTGGAAACACTATTTTATATATATTAAGAAGGAGACCGTCCCAAGGACTTGAGAAAATGTTCATGAACTGCATTATAATCTGTATTTTGGCATTTATAGAAAATCACTATAAATTAAAGATAGCACATACTTTTCATTCGATTGATCTCTAGTCTTCAAGGTCCTAGTTTTGCACCCAGGGCAGTTTATTCTGACTGCTATAATAAAATTACATAGACCAGGTGGTTAACAAACAGCAGCCATTGATTTCTCAGAGTTCTGGAGGCTGGAAGACAAAGGCCAAGGTGTTGACAGATTTGGTGTCAAGCAATGGCTGCTTTTGGGCTCATAAATGGCCCCTTCTTGCTGTATCCTTCTGTGGTGAAGCCCCTGGGGATCTTGTTAAAATTCAGATTGTGATTCAGGAGGCCTGGGTCGGGGCTTGAAGTTCCATGTTCCTAATTCTCTTCTTCGGACATAGCAAGCATCTAGTCTGCTCTCCCTCCCTCTGGATTTCCAAAGAGGAGCCATGAGGTCTGTAGGCTGACTTTCTCAAGGCCAGCACAGCTCCCTGGCAATGAAGGGGTGAGGAGAACCAGGTGCTTTGATGCGACAGCCCAGCATTTTCTGCAGGGTCCAGAGTCTACCCATCTTGTTCTGCTAGCATAAAAATAATCACAAAGATGGTTATGCTCTTTGCAGAACACCCTTAAACACTCACATATTCAATGAATACTCCTTCACTTTGTGCTAGGTGGAAGAGGACCTTATAATGCATTTTGGCAACTAGGGTCCATTATATAATTTTGGCAGCAAACACATTGATGAGCTCAAAGAGATATGGTATTCAAAATGATAAATATAAATTAGTATTTTATGTGGGTTGAGATAAGATATACCAACGTATAACTGACACATTGGAAATGTGTGACCCCATCTTCTTCTTCTTCTTTTTTAAAAATTTATTTTATTTATTTGAAAGATAGAGTTACAGAGAGAGGTAGAGACAGAGAGAGAGGTCTTCCATCCGCTGGTTCACTCCCCAGATGGCCGCAATGGGTGGAGCTGCGCCGATCTGAAACCAGGAACCAGGAGCTTCTTCCAGTTCTCCCACATGGGTGCAGGGGCCCAAGGACTTGGGCCATCTTCTGCTTTCCCAGGCCATAGCAGAGAGCTGGATGGGAAGTGGAGCAGCTGGGTCTCAAACCAGCGCCCATATGGGATGCTGGCACTTCAGGCCAGGGCGTTAACTCGCTGCGCCACAGTACTGGTCCCCGTGACCCCCATCTTCTTAGACCACTTAAGGCGATTTGCCAGAAGGACTTGGAAGGAAGGCTTCCCTACTCTGACCTGACTTCCTTACTCACCTGGCACTCACCTCCAAACTCACAAGAGCCTGTGGCAGCCAGAGATTTTTTTAAAATAAAGATTTATTTATTTATTTGAAAGGCAGAGCAACAGAGTGAGAGGGAGCCACACAAAGGCATAAACACAAAGGCATACACACCGAAAGAGGACATAGAAATAGAAATAAACACAGGGATAGATATAGGGAGAGAGTTAGAGCTAGAGACAGAGATAGATAGATAGATTAGAGATATAGAGATGGTGGAGGTGGGGGTGGGGGTGGGGGTGGGGGTAGGGTTTGGGATGGGGTTGGATTGGGATTGGAGGTGGAGGTGGAGTCTTGCATCACTGATTTACTCTCCAAATGGTCACAACAACCGGGTCTGGGCTAGGGTGAAGCCAGGATCCTGGAACTCCATCCTGGTCTGCTCTGAGGGTGGCTGGGCCCCAAGCACTTGGGCCACTATCCTCTGGCTTCCCAGACACATTAGCAGGTACCTGGGTCAGAAGTGGAGTAGCTAGGACTTGAACCGGTGCTCAGATTTGGGATGCCATCATGAGAAGAGGAAGTTTAACCCCTTGAGGCACAACACTGGGCCCAGGCAGGGATCTTGAGGCTTATGCTTTATTAGATTCATTGTAAAGCTGCCTCTGGCTGAGACAAAGTTTCAGAACCAATGTAATCTTCATGAACTGAGTTTTCCTTATGCTACTGGTGCTCTGGGTGCAGTATTAAATTGTCCTTAAGACCCCTCCCTGCCCATTTCACTGAGGGGAGAATCATTTTGTTGTTCCTCCACAAGATTAGGCCTCTTGAGGTTCATACCTAGACACTATGTTGGAGTTAGTATTATAAAGGCCATTGTGTTACTCCTCACTCAGCCTTACCAACTACTAGAAGGGCAGAAAAGACGCTACTAGAAAAATCAAGAACATGGAACACAATCATTCAACTCCAGGCAAGTGTTCTTGTTTACGACTCCCTGTCACCCATTGCCTTTGTTTATCATCACCTGGATCATCCAATAGTAACCCTGTTTTTGACCCCTTTGCTAGTCAATCCTTTGGGTCAGCAGAGGATTTATACCAGTAATCCTAACTGTTGAACATGTAACCAAAATGAAGCTGGAAACAATGAGCGTGTGTTTCGGTGCTTCTGAAAATTCTTAGACATTGCCATCCTGAATTTGAATTTTTAAAATATTACCCCTTTAAAATACATAAGACACAAGACAGCATTTCAGAAGTTATTTTCTATATTTTATTTTGGTATGCCAGATAACCTCTTGTACTGCAGTTTACATAGTGTCAACACAACAACTAGGTTAAGCCAAAATTAGTGGGAAAGCATAGTACGTATTAAAAACCGTTTGAGAGACAACATAAGAACATTACACATTCTTTTGGTATTGACTTTCTTTATATGATGAATCATAATAGCCCAAGTCAAATCCTTGATCTTGTCAGTTTGTTTATTTAACTTAGGGTGTATAGTTTTGTTACATTCAACGCTTGTGCCAGATATGACAGTTACCATTTCACATCTATCTAAAGTTGGTTAATGTATCAGGGTGCTTTATTTCCACTGGGCCGGCACTCCAGCACTCCAATCACTTATGCTTTGGAGAGCCTTGGTTTTCTTTGTAGCCAACTTGAAAAAAAAAATCTGGTGGAATCATTTCATCTCTGAGTTTATGAGTGATTTTCTCTGGGAAAAGAAGGGGGGACCTTCTGTTAAATTGGGGATCTGGGTAACTGAGCATCTCTGGGAGGAACAAAGGAAAAGAACAGAGGGGCTAATTGTTTAATTAGTAAATGTCTGCTTGGTTAATGACATATTAATGAGTTTTTAAGGCCGTCATATCATTTACCATAAAAGACTCACGTGCCTATCCCTGGATGTACTGTATAATTAAGTAATGTGGCCCAGAGGAGTTAATCATTTAAAACCCTGTCATATTCCTCAAGTTTGCAGAGAGGGGAGCCAGTACGGGAGACACCTGCCAGGTAGAGTCAGGGTGGCACATAATCCTGAACTAAATTGTCTCTCTGCAGCGGTGGCGCAGTCAGACGTCTGCCCAGAAGCAGACGATTTCTTCTCTTTTGACAACTGAAAGAGCTGCTAGGAAACCGCCATTGGCTCCCTGGCATTCAGAGACTGGCATGGAGAAGAGGAGCTTGCAGAATGGGGACCGTGTGAACTTCCTTTGAGTCCTTAAAAGAGCGCAGGGACTCAGAGGACTCTAATTCCAGAATTGTGTCATTCAACATGGCAGCCACTTGCCACATGCAGCCATTTCAGTTAAAGTTAATTAAAATTAAATAGAATTAAAAATCCATTTTTCCAGTCCCATGAACCATATGTCAAGTGCTCTGTAGCCACACGTGGTCAGTGGCCACTTCATTGGCAGCACAAACGGGGAACAACACCACCAACACATAGAGGCTTCTCGGACCCTGTTACTGTAGAGTGCCAATGGTGGTAGCTGCCAGGACATCAGCATGCGGTGGTCACTTCTTTTTCCACCTGCAAGGAGCATGAGCTCATATGTTCATATGAGTTCATATGGCATGAGTCCATGTCCTTCTCTTGTGGGGCAGGATCCTGATCAGAACATTTGCAGCCATGTGTTTAGAGTAGAAAACAAAATTTTACCTTACTACAGATACACAATTCAGGGGATACAAATTATGCTCCGGTTGGTCAACCACAGAGCTTCCTGCCACAATCAACAGTGAAAATCCCAAGCTCCCCCGCTCATTCTAAGCTGCTTTATCCAGACCCTAGAATCTGCTTGTTTCAGACCCGCAGCGCTGATTGAAAGCTGGAAACTGTGGTTCCTATGTTCTTGCATACATCATTGTGGCTTTTCTTGAGATAAATTCTGTGTCCAGAAACTTTTAAATGCCTGAACTTTCTTGGACTTTCTGTGTAAGAGTATCCAAATCAGCTATTAAAAATAATTCACTTATCACTTTCTTTTTCCTACAGTCTGGCTTACATTCAAGGAGTCTTTTTTTTCATATTTATTTACTTATTTGAAAGGCAAAGAGAGAGAGAGAAAGAGGGAGAGAGAGAAATAGTTCTTCCATTTGCTGGTTCACTCCCCAAATGACCTCAGTGGCCACGGATGGACCAGACTTAAGCCAGGAGCCAGAAGCTTCCTGAGGGCCTCTCACGTGGGTGCAGGGGCCCAAGGACTTGGATCATCTGCTGCTGCTTTCCCAGGTGCAACAGCAAGGAGCTGGACTGGAAGTGGAGCAGCAGGGATTCAAATGCACACGCACATGGGATGCTGACACCGCTCTCTGGAGAAGAGCACGTTCCGTCTCTGAGGCTCAGAGAAGTCCTGCAGAAGTATTACTTGAAAATCCAAAGTTTTACTATAAAAATCACATTTTCTTTTTTCTTCTTTGTGTGTCAGGTGGGGTTGTTCAGACCTTTGCTCACAAATGCTCACTCTCCCAACTGCATCCATGAATGGAGCACACTTCCACTTCCCTTGGTGGTGTGACCTGGTTTATCTCCAAACAGGTAGGTCGTTCTTACACAGTGCGTAAGTGCATCTTTTACTTTGGGCAAGTCTGTGTTATTAGATGCAGTTTGAGCAGAGATAATAAACCATCTTGTGCAGTTGAGCTTGCATGCTTGGATTCCTGCCTTGTAGTGGGAGAATAGCTATAAATAGCTATTCCAAGAGTATGAGAGACCTGAAGAACATTTTGGACCCATCCTAAGGATTGGACACACACTCTGCCATGGCCAGCCTTGATCAGTGAAACCCCAGCTGGCATACAGATCTGTGAGCAAGAAATAATGTTTATTTTAGCACACCACTGAAACTGTGAATCTGGTAATAGTTGAGACATCAGTCAGACCCATGATTTTAATCATCCATAGGACAATCTGGGTTGTGCGTGAAACGATCATATGGAAATTGGGGCTGGCACCAGACTGTGCCCCGTCTGTCTGTTGTTAACAGTTCTGAGACACTTGGAATCAGAGCAGGCATGTGTTTGCCTACTCAGTCTTTCCTATGCACACTCACTGTGGTGGAGCACTGTACACAAGAATGGTCTTGATGAGTCATTTCGGAGGAGCAGAAGTAGGTGAAGGCCTTAGTTCTTATGGTGCCTATAGATGCAACGATGGCTGTGGTAGTCATTAAGGAATTCATAAATACAGATTGAATATTCTTCACCCAAAAATACAAAACCCTAAATGTTCTAAAAATCTGAAAGTTTTGGAGCATGGACATGATACCACAAGTGGAAAATTCCACAGCTGACTTCATGTGATGGGTTGTAGTCAAAATGCAGGTGTACTAAAAATAATATGTAAAATTACCTTAAAGCTATATGTTCAAAGGGGTATGTGAGACATAAAAGAACTATTTGAGTTCCATCTAAAGATATCTCACTGTGTATTTGTAAATATTTTAAAATATGAAAAAAATTCAAAATCCAAAATACTTCTGGTCCCAAGATTTTGGATAAGGGATATTCAACCTGTTTTTTTATTCTCCTCTTTCTAAAAACATGTGCATTTGTACATCCTCACTCTTCTTGACGTTATTCTTGACCAATTATGTGGTTTGGACAATAAGATGTGGAAAAAAAAAAAAAGATGTGGGCAGATATATCATGTTTTATGAATTGCTTTTGGGTAGAATCTCCAAGTACTAGTGCTCAACTTCTCCTTATTATTATTGCTATTGCAATTGTCTTATTTCTACATGGTAGATGGTGATGCTACAGAAGCTAAGTTCATAACTGACTGACATTTTCCATGAAATAAAAACATATATTGATTATTTTGTTACTGCATGCTGAACTTAACCTACCCCAACCCCTAAAATTCCCTATATCCAAAGTGGTTGAATTCTAGCAAGATGATTAGACAGATTATTACCCAAGGCAATATAAGAATAATACCATATATGGATAGTTCAAAATAAAATTTATATGAATGCTGAAAAAAGAGAAATTGATTTTGACCAACGTGATCAGAAAATCTATGATCAAAGATGAATAACTTGAGCAGTCTGGAATTTGAAAGGATACAGATAGACAAATTATTGGGGAGGAGGCATTCCAGGGAGACAGAATGAGAATGGAATTGCAGAGTCCAAATATTGTTTCGAAAATGAGGAGCAACAACCAACCAGAAAAAATAGAGTACAACGAAAAAAAAACCTCACTATGTATCATGCTAAGCTGACATCTTGTGATTTTATTGTTCTCTGTAACACTTATCTATACCCCAATGGAATAGTGGTCTGTCTGCCTTTCACTCACAGAACTCTTTGTTTAGAGGAGCATTAGAAAGTATGTTATCATAAATAATTTTTTTAAAGATTTATTTATTTATTTGAAAGTCAGTTACACAGACAGAGGAGAGGCAGAGAGAGAGAGAGAGAGAGAGAGAGAGAGAGAGAGAGAGACAGGTCTTCCATCTGATGGTTCACTCCCCAGATGGCCGCAACGGCCGAAGCTGCGCGGATCCAAAGCCGGGAGCCAGGAGCTTCTTCTGGGTTTCCCACATGGGTGCAGGGGCCCAGGGACTTGGGCCATCCTCTACTGCTTTCCCAGGCCATAGCAGAGAGCTAGATTGGAAGTGGAACAGCCGGGTCTTGAACCGGCGCCCATATGGGATGCTGGTGCTTCAGGCCAAGGCATTAACCCAATATGCCACAGTGCTGTCCCCTATCATAAACAATTAAAAGAAAAAATAAATTAAAAAAAGAGGAAAGTATCATTGTATCCATGGAATTCAAGAAATCTGTTCTCTATATGTTAATAAATAAAAATGTAATAATAAAAGATAAAATAACAGGACAAGTTTTACTGGAAAAAAATGATGAACATGACACATGGGTTGGCTTTCAGGACTTTTTAAAGCAGAATCACTGGATATTGATGAGCAGGCTCTCAGTTCAGAACCTTACACTGTAGCCTGAATGTGAGGGGCAATTGGTAGAAAAGACCATGTAAGTAGGCCAAGCAAGAGGGTTAAGATCCTTTAATTCTAAACAGAGAGATCTACTCTGTGTACTGTAGACTGGGAGAGCCATAACTATTCATGTAGATGGAAATTGTCAGATCTAAGCAATGTTTTATGAAGGTTGTTACAGCATGGTCTCCCTAATGAATGAGGAAAACCAAATATCTAGAACTTTCTCTCTGCTTTGGCTATAGGTCTGATGTAGGCAGGCCAATAGGCTAAAATTGAGTAGGTTTGTGAGCTGGAAGGCCACACCTTCACCATGCCCCTGTGTGATCTGATGCTCCTAACCTGACCCCACTATTGTGCCCAGCTGCCAATCAAGCTATGTAACCACTCCCTTTTGGAAGTGGATAAAAGGCCTGGAACATGGTAGGCCCCTCCGTTATTGCCCTTTTGTTGCCCTTGCTGTCTTCGGGGTGCGTGGTCTTCAGGCCGTCTTCCCCCTGTTTTCCTGCCTGCATGCTTGCTGCGCCTGGAGTGCTCCTGGCCTGTTCTCTGCTTGGTCTGGACCCCAACTTAGCCTCTAGACTTTTCTTTCTCCCTTAAATAAAGCCCTCACTCTCACTGAATAAAATCCTGAACACTTAACATATTGTCTGGTCTATTTGAGCCAGTATTCAGAATTCTTTTCTGAATAGGCGGCAAGAACCTAGGAGCTTATTGATATTGAGAACATGTTAATAAGCAAGAAGGTATCAGGTCCCTGGAAACAATTGTATAGTGAGATGGTATGGATGTGAGGTAAGATTTGGGAAATGGGACTATAAAAAGGAACAGACGTGTAGAGAGAAACAGGTACCACATGGTCCTTAGTCTGCAATCTGTTGAGGGCTGTCTAACCTTAGAAAAAAATCACAGTTAACACACTCTGAGCTTCAGTTTCCTTATAGGCAATGATGATGATGCTGGTATGCATTGCACCAACTTCTTGATGGGAGTAACTATGAAAGCTCACTCATCCCAGTGTCTGTTTATTTTATAAAGTAAATACCAGTAAGTGGAGACGACCATTACCTAAAATAACGGTGATTTGATTTTGGGGGGAAAGTATTTTGGTATGGCTTTTTCCTACTAAGCATTTGATTTGCTGTTTCTGTGTATTACTTCTTTACAGGCAAAGACAAACTTCCTTAAAATGTTAAGCTATCAAAATAGAAGTGAAAAAAAAAAATGTGCTTTTCTGTTATTTCAACATCACTCTTCCATTAGACCAGAAACAGCAAGCAAGCATGACCATCCAGGCCTTTCTCTTCAGGCCCCGAGGGAGGTTGGTAGGGAAGAATACTGAATAGGAAAGAAAACAAGATTAGGTCAGCACCCAGTCTCCCTTTGGGGGATTCACAGAACTGTTTTTGTTTGAATAAGCAAAGCTTTTGCACAAGTCTGGTTCCTTTCTCACTGAATACAAAGCCGTTTCCCTATCCTTGGGCTAGTGTTTTAAAAGGTAAAGAAAACATTCAAAAAAAAACGGTAAAGTGGTGCTTTAAATAAAAAGTGGAAAATTTTGTTTTCCAAAGTTAGAGAAACTCAGAAACCAAAGTTGTATAAACTGAAAATTGGTGAGTTATGGCATTCTCTATGTGCCTTTTAGCCCAGAACTATCCTGTCACTTATACATTCACATAATCAATACTAGTGAGAAAAGTACTATCCCACTTTACAAATAAGGAGATACTGTCTGAGCATATTAATGGGGATGAAATAAAATTGTGACTGCATACATTTATTAAACATAGGTTTATGGACCCTTATTTTGTCACAAACACTGTCCAAAATAAAAAGATATCAATTTGACCAAGACCTAAGACCTGATTTCAAGCAGTCAGACCTCTAATGAGAACAAAAATGGAAGTCCATCTGGAAATAGTGTGATGAAGGCTTTGTAAGTCATACTCCCGAGGACGGCTCCTTGGGGGAGGAGAACTGAAGCTTGAGTCTGCGGGGAGTACACCAGGGGCAGGAAGGTTAAAGATCAAGATGGCTGAAGCATAGCAGGACCAAGTGCAACTTGGGTCAAGATTTCCTTGCCTCATTATGGTATCTGGACTTCGTTCAGTTGAACTTTACCAAAATCTGGCAAATCCTCAATCTTTTCACCACTACCACCTTGATCTAAACCATTATGATTCCTTACTTCAATTACTGTCATAGTCTTGGTCAAGATGTGAGCGACTGCCCTCACCTTCCCCCAGAAATCTCCGGCCAACTACTCTTCCTAATCACCCTCCCGTTTCTTACAATCCCTCTGGAGTTTCGGCCATAGCTAAGCCATGGCCATGTTCTCAGGGAGCTGTGGGGTGCCAGACTTGATGGTCAATTCCACAGATCCAGTCTCGCTTGAGGGAAGGAATACTGACCTTTGATGTCTTCTTAAAGTCCCTTTGTGGTGGCCAAAATGTTACCAGTGAATGGCAGTGTTCTTGTCTTTGCACAAGAAAGAATTCATGTGTGAAACGGAGAGTAGTGGAAAGTAAAATAGCAAGGTTTATTAGGGAAGGGACATCCATAAGAATGGATGGGCGTTCTCT